TCATGGACCCCCAAATTGTTTTTTCGCTGTCATAGACCCCTTGCAGGTTGTCATAGACCCCTTGCAGGTTGTCATAGACCCCTTGCAGGTTGTCATAGACCCCTTGCAGGTTGTCATAGACCCCTTGCAGGTTGTCATAGACCCCTTGCAGGTTGTCATAGACCCCTTGCAGGTTGTCATAGACCCCTGGGGTCGATATAGACCACTTTGGGAATCACTGCTCTGGACTATTGAACATGAGACTAAAACACCCCTGGGGGTCGATATAGACCACTTTGGGATTCACTGGTTTAGTTGGTCGGTTTAGGAGGAGCTTGCAAGTTTGGGTTGTTTTCTAAAGGGGGTGGACGAGTAGGTGGCGGTAATGGTAATAAACGGGGTCGAATATATTATTAGCAGCATCTTCGCGCAGTAACGATAACCGGGTTTAGGTAGCTGAGATCCTTCTTGCGTTAATTAATTGCTTAATTAATTCCCCGCGCTCGGGCGCTGAGAAGAACGCCACACTCTACGCTCATCCACTGCCTTTGCATCCTCGAGGATTCACGACACGCCCCATTACTGTTACAACTACTACTACTACTACTAAAGCTGTTACTACCATCACTGCATTACTTCCAGCTCGGATTTAAAGAGTGAATCCCCTTGTAAACTGATCATCATCAAATTGAAGTACTTACAACGTTATAAATGAGCCGTTTATTTTGAAAATGACTTAAGTCCATTTTCAACATTTTATCAAGTTGCCACTTGTGACATTTATAATTTATGCTGAACTGTCAAAAAAAAATGAATCGGTATTGAAATATACTTAGTACATTTGAAAATTTTATATCACCTGCATTTTCAAAATAATATAAATACTGAAAATCCTAATTTTTAAAGTCACCTAAGTCCACTTTTTAATAATTTAAATTACGTTTTGATATTAAATTGAAATTTAACAAAATAATATTTAATTTAAAAGAAATTATTAAACCCATGGGAAAGGATAAAATAACAAGATTTCTTGATTCTGAAAGTGAAGAGGAATTAAACTCGTACAACAGATTTAAAAAAAAAGAAGGAGAATTTTAGAAGTTCATTCTTCAACAGTGGAAGTGGAAGTAATTGAGAATGAGAATTTACAAAACCTTCAAAGAAGGATTCAGAGAACACAGAAGTGGTACTTATATTCAGAAAATTCGTAAAATTAAACGGAATTCAGGGAAAAGATACGATACACAATCGGGAAAAATTATTCCTGTTTTTCAAAATGAAGATAACTTGTTACTAAATGTATTTCTATTATCTAAAAATGTAATTTAAATGTTTTTTTTTTCTTCTATTTTTTAAGCTATATGTAATGGACTTAAGCTCTTTCACTTTTTGTAACAAAACAAATTTTTATTTTGAAAGTGACCTTTGAAAGTCCTTTTAAGGTAAGCAAGGTCATATTATACACTTAATAATAGCGATGTATAAAATTAAATCCCTTAAATGCGATTTAACATTGCAAGTCAACCAATATATCTTACGTATATTTTTAATTTTGTAAAAACGCAAATTAAAGATAAATGGACTTAAGTCACTTTCAAAATGAACGACTCAAATATAGTTTTGTTATATAATAACATATAAAAATAATAGCATTTAATTGAATTAATCATGAGGTACATTTTCTGTAAATTTATAGGCGGAATTGGTGTCTGTGGAGAGCAAAGAGATCGAGAGTCACTACGTTTTAGCCAGGGAGCCGATCCACAAATGGAACTCATCTTCGGACTGCTATCTTCTGATCGAGGGAGTGGAGCACACGCTTCAGGTGACAATATCAATCCTCGTCCGAGACACAAAGGGGGTTTTATTCATTACACTGGCTCTGCCTTTGATTTGAACGGGTTGCAGCCGGAAGAGGAAGCGCACGTGTCCATTCTGTCCACGTGTCCGTGCGAGAGGGACCTGCATTACGTAATCACGACGGACGGCCGCGTCACGGACTGGGCGCAGCGGCGATACGAGGATCCGGTTCCGGTTCCGTCGCCGACCATAACGCAGCTAGGATCCATCTGCAGGCTAAACTTTAGGTAAGAATGTTGTTGTACGAATTGTACCTCCATCCGTATAGCCATTACGAACTAATTGAAAGGTGGCCGCATTCGAGTCACGCGCGACCTCCCGAAAATCTCACTCCGGTCAGCATTCCGCAGAAGTCTTTGAAGGCTGAAAAACTGTAGGGTCGGACAGAAAACGTGGGGGAGGGTTGAATGAGAAGAAGAGAAAAAAACGTATATAAATGATGTAAGGAAGGGAAAATGAGGGACGCACGTGAGACGCGTTTGAAAACAAACGCGGCGTGACCTTTTTCCATCCCGGAACTAAACTGCGTGCACATTCTGAGCGCGACCGGAAATAGAACAAACTGGGGAAAAGGATGAGGGGGGTTTAGGGGGAGGTTTCGGGAAGAGAGAGGAAGCGATGCGAAATCCGCTGGGGAGGCGAAAATATATATAAAAAAAAATACAGGGTGTCTTGGAAACAAAAAAATAATATATTGTCGTGTCCCAGGGTTAAGAAATCCTTGGACACCGTGGATTATCTCTTAGTTATGTCGTTGCGGAGTCTTAGAGGGGTTTATGAATATTAAATGCAATATTCTTAATTAACTTTATTGTATACATCGGAGTTTTATTGAGAAGTCAACTAAACAATAGTTGATCTCAGGTGTTATTAACTAAGAGTTACATTCTCCTCTTAAGTTAGTGTTTATGAAGTAAGTGCTCTTCCTTGGACTCTCCCAAGTAGGACTTCTTTTTAGTTCGACCCCTTAGCTAAGACTTCTTCTCTATTCGCTCCCCTAACTAAGACTAAATTATATAATACAGAAATGTGTTCATTTCAAAAAGGGGTTGCGTGGGAGGTAAGGGTTTGACCTTGTAGAAAACACAAGTGTTTCTATATCTAAGTTTTATGATCCTGCCCAGATATTTAGGGGCGGAAGAAGGCTGTTAAATGGTGATGCAATAGACGCAACTAAACGATTTAATCGTTGGGAATATTCCACAAGTTATTTTAAATAATCACGTACAAGTATATTTGATGGATACATAAAATATGATTTATAATAATTAAGAGGAAAGTCATGGCCCTAACAAATATACATATTAGTTATACAATAGATGACAATAAATTGGTCGGCCACGACAATATATAGATACATAATTCTTTACTTTTGTTATATAACATCTAATATTTTTGAACATGAAATGTCTTAGTTTTTACAACTTTCCTTTGCTTATGAGTTGAAATATTTACAAACATTATATTTTAAAGGTTTCAATATTTACGTTAATAAATTCTTCTCAATTGAAAATAGTTGCAATATTTAAATAATAATATAGAAAATTTCACTGAAATTTGTTTACAGTTTTCTGGACACCCTGTATATATATGTGATATATACGTGCACTGGGGAAAAGGTATGCGGGCGGAAATATCAAATACGCTTCATTAGGCCTCGCTGCCTCTCCACCCCCTTGATCAAATTATTACTCTTCTATATATATATATATATATATATATATATATATTTACACACACAAACGCATACTTTTTTTTTCCTCTCCGCGCTTTCATTTCATTCCCAATGAATTGGAAAATCATGCTCGCCATTTTCCACCTATATTTATGATAATTCGCTCTGTCAGAGAGGGGTTGGAGAGGCGCTCGGTCGTAATCAAGCGCGACTGCGACCGCCGCCGCCCCCCAAAATGTAACTTGATTACGACGCGGTTGATCTCTCGCCCCTAAAAACACTGGTGATCAGTCGCCTTTTAATTCATTCAATTTTTGCCAATTACCGCATCAATTCAACATCGCTATAAATGCTTAAACATCACTCAATTTATTGTTTTTGTTTGAAAAACTACTTCGGATGTAATAGAAATGAATAGTTGACTACACAATCGTCAAGTTAATTCTCATGTAGGAAAGATGAAGAAGTTTATGAGATTGCGATGAATACGAATTGAGGAAGAAATAATTTCTGCACGTTTGCTTCTTCTTTTTGGCGGGCGGGCGTGCTGGAAATCTGCAATCCTCTTACGCAACGTGCACCGAATACGCGAATACTGTTTGTTCGTGTTTCCGAGTTAAGCTTCCTCCATCCGAGCGGGCTTTGAGAACAAGTGAAATGGAACAGAACAAGAAGCAAAAGAAACAACAACAACAACAACATCATCTGAAAACGAAAGAAAAAGTATTCCAATTTCGTAACAAAAAAAAAAAAATTAATCCTGAGCAGACACGTATGATTATTATTTTTGTTTTGTTGAGTAACAATTTGGACAAATTCCAAGTTTCCATGAAAGGATATCATTGGGAAGCGAAAAAAAAAAGCGTTATTGCCATGGTGTTTGTTATGTTTATTCCATTTCACTGTTGCTATGGTAATTCATGTTTTCATTTGTTTTTCGGCCTACTACATTTCAATATTGTTTCTGTATACAAAGTATACAAAAAAACAAGCAAATAAATATGACAGTTTCGAATGCGGTATTAATTGTATATTGCGTACGTCGGTAATTGAAATAGCAATTTCCAATCGACCAATCCGATGTATATATATATGGGTAGAGTTCAAAATTATTAATACGAAATTCATTACGCTAATTGACTGCGCGCTTTCATTGAAGAAACACCGGAGAGCAAACGTAATCGATTTTCGCGATTATGGAAGTAATTTCATTAACTTTAATACGTTTGTAACGGAAGGGGAGCATCAATGTTGCTTTCTATTAATTTTCTGATAGAGAATTGGAAAAAGTCTAAAAGTGTGTAATTCATTTGAAAGTCTACTTCAAACAGTTTTCAAAGCAAGCATTGAATCGAAGAATTTAAAAAGGAAATTATTATTGGGAAATTTAAAACGTCGTTGTTGTTAAATGAAATTGTTTACTGATTTTTCATTTTGACCATTGTCGGAAAATTACTGCTAATGAGTGTATTTTTTTTGTTGTACGGCTGTTGGAGCGGGAAATTTCGGTCAGGGAATGGAAATTTACACACGAGGCGCAGTGGAAATTTATGAAGAAATTTGGCAGACGCATTTTCGCGAACGCTCGTTCTCTCTCCATTTCTTTTTTTTTTCTTCTTAATTGAATTTCGCTTCTTGGCGGATCTGCTTAATTACTGTCTGCGAGAATGACTTTTCCAAGGGACAAACTTTATTGCACGGGTCCAAAAACGTTTCTGCTTTTTCTCTCTTCCAGAAAATATGTTCCTGCCTTTTTTTTCGTGTCCTAGTTCGCACCCTGCGTTGCGGTCTTTTCTTGTCGTTGTCGGCTGTGTCCGGGGTTAAAGCGTCTTTGGGAGCATCTGGTGCAGCCGAAGTCATCCAAACCAGACATAAACAACGTCTGTCGTCCGAACATGCGTTTAGAATCACTTGTTAAATTGAAACGTACCCCAATCCGGTTTGCTTGCAGTAAATTTGGGAAATTGGATTCTAAATTGCAGATTTAATTGTTAATTCTTAAATTAACAATTGTAAATTCTATTAATTATATAATAAGAATATACAAGTCTTAAGAGATGTCTTATTGGAGATGTATCAAAATTCTAATTAGTGATTTGATTGCAGCTGAATTATTATACATATGTTAAATGTTTGTTTGTTGCAGTTTCACGGTGAAATCGGTGATGGCTCCAGTCAGTCAACTTCTTGTCTATTATATAACGCCACTGGGAGAGCCGGTCAGCGACGTGATCAGCTTCGACGTCAAACTGCTTCACAGACAGGTGAGCGAACATATCAAATATTCCCGCTTCGATTAGCGTTCCCTTTCGCCGCTAATTGCTTGCATAATTGATGCATCGCATTAGAAATTGATTGACCGACTCGACTCGACTTTACCATCGAAGATCGAAGGGAAAATGGACCAATAAAGAAAGAGCTTAATTCGATTCAATTCGTCTCTGGGCTTGTGTCTCTTCTAGGGCGCGATTTAATTAAAAATTACTCTCTTCTCGTCATGATTAATCCCCGGGGAGTGTTTGAACTTCCATCAAATATTTGCGTGTGTGTGTGTGTGGATCTGTACGTGTCCTTTTCTGCAGGTGTACGTGATGATGGAGAATCGGGAGTGGTGGCTGCCCAATCAGCCCCTTGACCTGGAAGTTATCGCCGAACCTTCGTCCCTCGTCTGTTTGCTCGGCGGAAAGATCGGTGCCAATAGCGACATCAAGTTCGATCCCAGAGTCAGGTAATGTCCATCCATTCATCCATACACCTATCCATCCAGAAACTTGGATATACGCTAGATGCACTCTCAATATTGCTTCAATTTTCGTATCCACAAACAACCACTAATTACATCCTTTTTTGATCAAATCCAGAGTGTCATAAAAAATAACTGCAGTTTATTATTCAATCTTATTTCTTCTTTTATAACTTATTTAATGAAGTTTTGCATCGAGTTTTGCGGAACGATGAATATATATATATATAAAACTTTCGTCCTTAATTAATTAATTATTATTATAATCTGTTTAGAAACTTTTCAACACTGAAACTATTAAACACACTCTCGACGCGGCATTATCCCCCCCTTTCATTAATTATACATACATTAACAAAGTTCCAACAATTTGATTTATTTAATATTTTCTTCTCCAACTTCTTGCAATTGCTGCAATCAATAATCGTTTTGTCTTATGTTGTTGTTTTTTTGTTTGTTTAATCAGTGAGGAGAGAATCCCCAACAGCGAAACGGGAGAAGTGGATTTCTTGGAAGCCGGCGTGTCCTTCTTCCAGAGGCAATGCATCAAGCGAGATTCGGGAATGTCCGCCGTGTCCTACAGGCAGCGGGGATCTGGTGCTGGACCCGCTTCTGGCAGACGCAGGCCGCCGGAGAGCCTCGTCGGCGGCGCACCCTTCGATCAACTGTGGCTTTGGAAATGCTTCAATTACACGTAAGATCAATTCAGATTTAGTTAACCCTTTCAAGCTTATACCAGTTAAATTATGTTGGTATTTTCATTTGCATCTGTTGGGTTAATAGAATCCCAGAAACGATGTCTGTTGGGACATAATTTATCCTGAGCAGACACGTTTAAACAAAACATTATTTAATGATCAAACTTGAAAGGGTTAAAATCTTCCAAAGAGCAGATTGTAAATCGGAATTTATACTGCAAAGAGGTTTTTGCAATTATGTTTTATTACATAAGTATTTTACGTGATCATCACTTGTACAGACTACATAATGTTTGGTGTTAACTGTGGGTGCTTATCCACATCCATTCGTTTCCGGGCTTATTATTTGCCGACGTACATGGAATTGGATTAAATGCAGGAAGTGGTGCGAAATTGGCGCAGTAAATCTGGGAGTCGGGATTATGGAAATTTTCAAATTAATTGTACTAAATTTTGCGTTTGCTAACGTCTGGAATCGTCTATTACATAATTATAAGATATACAGTTGAACAATGCGTCGTGGATAATGAAGGACCTTAACATTATTTACGAAAGTTACTTGTTACTTGTGATAATACTTGAATTTTGCTTCTTATATTTTATTTTTTTTTTGCTTAGATCGGAAATCGCTTCATCCGGAATGAGTATAATGGGACCGCAGGAGGCGGGAAGATGGTCCCTGTGGGCGCTGACTGTGTCGAACAGCGGTGGCCTGCAGTTTTCCGCCCCCGTCGCTCTGAACGTGTTCCGACCACTTCAGGCCGAATTCCGGCTTCCGCCGACTCTGAGGGTCCGCGAAACGCTCGAGGTCGACATCAAGATCGGCAACAACATCAACTCCTGCATGGACGTAAGTGGATGATGATGATGATCCGTCCTCGATATCGATTCCAGGGATAACCGATTGCTCCTCCGCCTCCTGCCTCCCCGCAAACTTATATAATAAAGAGTTTACGCCGGGGACGTCGAGGCACAAAGGAACTCGAGTCCTTAATATCCATTACGGCGACGGAGAAGGAAAAGTTACTTTATTTTTGCCCCGGAACCGTCGCTTTGCACATTTCTTAATATGTTGCGCGCGTTAAGGGAGAGAACTTTCTTTTCTCTCCTCTCCTCTTCTCGTTTTTTATTTTATTTTATCCCTCTTCGGAAAGTGTTTGTGTTTTCCTTCTTTCACATTTTCAAAGCCCGATCGCCTCATCGAATGAGCGGAGAAGCCACTACAATTTTAAGTATCTGAAAGGAGGAGGATACAATCATCCCGGCCTTTACGTGCTCTCATTTCTTCTCTTCGTTTCCGCAGATAACGGCCCTTTTGGCCCTCAGCGAAGGCGCACAGTTCCTGAGTAACGGCCTCCTCTACGTGACCGAACGTCTGCGACTTGGACCCCACGGAGCCACATCTTTGGTTGTACGTCTTCTGGTAACCACGCCCGGACTCAAAAACATGACTGGTAAGTGCAATTGATCAAATAACATTTTTAACTCATGAACTAAAATTCGGATGTAATGCGATTGGTGGAAGCTTGAAGCTTTAATTGGGCTGCTAACTAACGGACTATTCCTAGGTAGTTAAGAAGTTTTAATCCGAAGATTATAATCCTCAAAATTAGAGCCGATGAATTTGCAAAGCTAACATTTCATGTTTATGCACTAACAAAGAACTTATGTCATAATAATAGTAATTACCTTGTGTATGGAACGAAATGTTGAAACATAATCAATAGCAGTAATAAACCGGACATATTATTAATGATATCCAAGAGATGATGGAAAGCCCTTAAAGATATGAGAGATTATTAATGGTTGTACAACGTTTACAGCAAATACTACAACCGAAAATGAATCTTCTCTAATAAATTATCCTCATCGATTGAAAATCTGATAGATTTTCGAATGAATTGACCTTTTTGAATCGACCGACGGCAATTAGCAACATCAAACATTCCCGCTCGTTGTCTATATCATTAATTAAACTGCAGCTGCATCTCGCATTTCCTGGCCAATTAGATGAGGAGAAAAGGTTTCGCGGTCGGCGCTTTTGCCAGCGTCGAGAGGGGTTTTCCGTTGAATTTATTTTGCTCCAGTAATTTCGGCTCGAATTTTCCTTCCTCTTCGCCTAAAATCATATAAATTCCCGTTGATTTATGTGCTTTGCTTTCGGGATTCCGTGCCTTTCTGACTGAACAGCAAACACCGATACATCATATAGATTTTTCCACCGAAAGACGGATGTTCCGGTTTGACTCTAGATTTCACGTATGGAATTTTGAATTTAACCCATTCGATTTTTATCTTAAAAGTTAAAATTAATGCTAAATTAGATTTGATTATGTTGGCTTTGTCAGATGCGACTAGAAATTTGAACAATTTAAGTGAATTGAGTGTAGGAAGTTATTTCTTAGACAGAAAGTCGGTATCAGCGAATATTGCTGATAAATTTCCTGCGCGAAATGGAGTGAAAATTCCAATTTCCTCGTTTTTATTTCTGGGTGGCAGCTATCGGTGGAGCGTCGCGCACTCTCGCCGAGACGCATTAAAGTCTATTAGCAAACAAATAAGAATGAAGGAGGAAAACTAGCCGAGATGAGGAGAAGAGCGGAAACCGCGAAGGAAATGATTATGCAAATTTGCAGAATTATTAAAAGAGCGCGCGCGCGCGGATTATTGTCCGGATTTAATTAAAAGCGTTTTCAATTTCCGACTCGGCGAACTTCTTCCTTCCTTTTTATTTTTTCCCCTCTTATCATTCTCTTGCTCTTTTTCATCCTTTTTGCTTCTTCCATCTCTGCACTTAATTTCGCCTCCTCGTACTCACGGCCTCGGTAAATTAAACATAAATTACGTGAGGATGAATGTCCGGCCGTAAATTTTGTGCGAGAGGGGTTCGTGGTGGCCGCACGACTAAACGGCGTAAGGTCAGACCTGGGTCGACATCATCTCAGCAAACCCACCCCAAGTCCGTCCACCGCCAAACCAGAAACTTAATCCTCCGGCACAATTCATCCGAACCTGATTAAATTCACGCCCATACATCAAACCCTAACAATGGACAAGATAAACTCGTCGAGGGAAAGCAAGGGATGTAAATATGACGCTACAAACGTTGGAAAAAAGCTTAAGAACAATAAGTTTTGGCAACTTTATGTGCACTGTACACCTTTTCAATTCTATTTCCTCCCTGCATCCACCCTCTTTTTCTTGCTTCCTCCAATCCATCATAATTTAGGATCTATCATATCCGGTCCCGTCACTCGACTCGAATTTAATGCGCCTACTCTAATATCTCGCTCTCCATGATACCCAATCACTCATCTATCCGCCCAACATGATTACGTCTGCTACATCTTAAGATCATATGTCTCTTGTACGAATCGATCGATCTATAATTTTCAATTCATTTTAATTCTGCAATAGCAATAGCCTGGCAATTTGCATCCGCACTCGCGTCTACTTAATGTGAGTGTTTCAGTGGGACGGTTGACTTCTTTTGTACGAAGAACGCTTAGCGCATTTCAACATTTCAGTTTCTTCAAAGAGAGACGGCCTTTTGTTCGATGCTGGGAATCTGGGGCGCGCATTATGTAATGTCTCGGCGGTGGAACATGAATTAATAAACAACACGCGTAAATCAGCTGGAACGAGTTTATCAAGAAGGGAAATCCTGTGCGTTAAACTAGAAATAAATTCGGTTCGTGTGTTTGTGGCAGAGTCTTCAGAATGACGAAACGGTTCTGGAAAACTATCAATTCCCAAATGTAATGTTGCATAAATGATGTTTGATTAGGACCTACACAAATCCGGTTATATAATCAGTGTTTGATACGATTACAGCTTGAAATGAGTACAATTTATTGGAAATTTTGAAATTCATTAATAAGAAAAGGTTTTTCATTTAATTGATTTACTTTTTACATAAGAATTACTGAAGTTACTTACAATGAATGAAAGTGAAAAAAAAAATGGGTTTATATAACAAAAAAAAGTGAATTAAATGAAATATTTTATAATTTCTAAAAGATACTTTCTGTAGTTTTTTTTTTTGAATATATAAGTTTTTTTCTTGTAAAAGGCTATTGATTTCCTAAAGATGTGTTTCTATAATTTATTATATAAAAACTAATTAAATTTCCAGTTATTTTAGAAGATTTACAAATTTATGGGAAATTTTGAAATTCATTAATAAAAAAAAGGTTTTTCATTTAATTGATTTACTTTTTACATAACAATTACTGAAATTACTTACAATGAATGAGAGTGAAAAAAAAAATGGGTTTATATAACAAAAAAAAGTGAATTAAATGAAATATTTTATAATTTTAAAAGATACTTTCTGTATGTTTTTCTTTGAATATATAAGTTTTTTTTCTTGTAAAAGGCTATTGATTTCCTAAAGATGTGTTTCTATAATTTATTACATAAAAATAAAAACTAATTAAATTTCCAGTTATTTTAGAAGATTTACAAATTAAAAAAAAGGTTTTCCATTTAATTGAATTACTTTTTACATAACGATTACAGAATGTAATAATATTGATAGTTAGTTGATAGCTAATGAATGAAAGTGAAAAAATGGGTTTTTGTAACAAAAAAAGTGAATTAAATGAAATATTTTATAATTTCTAAAATTTTTATACTTTCTGTAGTTTTTTTTTAATATTTAAGTTTTTTTTCTTGTAAAAAGCTATTGATTTCCTAAAGATGTATTTCTATAATTTATTATATAAAAACTAATTAATTTTCCAGTTATTTTAGAAGATTTAGAAATTTATACGAAATTTTGAAAATCATTATTAAAAAAGAAAGGTTTTTCATTTAATTGACTTACTTTTTACATAACGATTACAGAATGTAATAATATTGATAGTTAGTTGATAGCTAATGAATGAAAGTGAAAAAATGTGTTTATATAACAAAAAAAGTGAATTAAATGAAATATTTTATAATTTACAAAAGATACTTTCTGTAGTTTTTTCTTTAAATATATAAGTTTTTTCTAGTAAAAGACTATTGATTTCCTAAAGATGTATTTCTATAATTTATTATATAAAAACTAATTAATTTTCCAGTTATTTTAGAAGATTTAGAAATTTATACGAAATTTTGAAATTCATTATTAAAAAAAAAAGGTTTTTCATTTAATTGATTTACTTTTTACAAAACAATTACTGAAATTACTTACAATGAATGAAAGTGAAAAAAAAAAGGGTTTATATAACAAAAAAAGTGAATTAAATGAAATATTACATAATTTCTAAAAGATACTTTCTGTAGTTTTTTTTGGAATATATAAGTTTTTTTCTTGTAAAAGGCTATTGATTTCCTAAAGATGTGTTTCTATAATTTATTATATAAAAACTAGTTAATTTTCCAGTTATTTTCTAAGATTTACAAATTTATGGGAAATCTTGAAATTCATTAATAAAAAAGAAAGGTTTTTCATTTAATTGAATTACTTTTTACATAACGATTACAGAATGTTATAATATTGACAGTTAGTTGATAGCTAATGAATGAAAGTGAAAAAATGGGTTTGTATAACAAAAAAAAAGTGAATGAAATGAAATATTTTATAATTTCTAAAAGATACTTTCTGTAGGTTTTTCTTTGAATATATAAGTTTTTTTTCTTGTAAAAGGCTATTGATTTCCTAAAGATGTGTTTCTATAATTTATTATATAAAAACTAATTAATTTTCCAGTTATTTTAGAAGATTTACAAATTTATGGGAAATTTTGAAATTCATTAATAAAAAAAAAAGGTTTTTCATTTAATTGATTTACTTTTTACATAACAATTACTGAAATTACTTACAATGAATGAAAGTGAAAAAAAAAATGGGTTTATATAACAAAAAAAGTGAATTAAATGAAATATTTTATAATTTACAAAAGATACTATCTGTAGTTTTTTTTTTGAATATATAAGTTTTTTCTAGTAAAAGACTATTGATTTCCTAAAGATGTGTTTCTATAATTTATTATATAAAAACTAATTAAATTTCCAGTTATTTTAGAAGATTTACAAATTTATGGGAAATTTTGAAATTCATTAATAAAAAAAAAGGTTTTTCATTTAATTGAATTACTTTTTACATAACGATTACAGAATGTAATAATATTGATAATTAGTTGATAGCTAATGAATGAAAGTGAAAAAATGGGTTTGTATAACAAAAAAAAGTGAATGAAATGAAATATTTTGTAATTTCTAAAAGATACTTTCTGTAGTTTTTTCTTTGAATATAAGTTCATCTAGTAAAAGGCTATTGATTTCCTAAAGATGTGTTTCTATAATTTATTATATAAAAACTAATTAAATTTCCAGTTATTTTATAAGATGTAGTGTAAGTACAAATGTAGTGCGCGCTGTCAAACATGCTATCTATCAATTTGAAGGCGTATTAAAAATAATTCACTCGCAGAAAGTTTTGGAAAAAGCTATTAGAAAGTTTTCTCGTTTAACGAGGTTTTTCCCGGAAGAGTGGTGAAACCATCGGACTTTTAATAGCGGACGGTGATTCTGCAAATTCTCTCAAAATTAATTATACCTAGAAATTGGTTTACTGCACTCTTTTATTACCTCGACTCAATAGAAATAGTATATAGGAGAGCAGCAGCTTCAGATATTATTTAATAATAATAGATAGATGATTTTTTTTTTTCCCCGAAACAGAGAATAATTCGTGAAATTAATCGGTCGTGGAATTGCTTTGGTAAATTTCCTTTCTGCTGCACGCGTGTTGGGTGTGTGTGCAAGCTGGATGATGGAATGCGGCTGGGATTGTTCCGGTTTTAAGCTGCACTATATAATTTTTTTTTCTGTACCGTCGGTATTTCCTCCGTTCGTTTTCGTTTTATCCGTTTTCTGGTTTTTTTTTTTTCCATAAAAGCTGATATAATTTAGAGTGTATGGTAGAGAGAGTTGGGATGAAAAAGGATTAAGTCGAGCGAGATTTTAAATTTCGCTCCACTGTGTGTGTGGATGTATAAATTAGCAAAGGGATCTGCGAGAGGAAATGGTCTGTTCCGCTTCGTATTTTATTTCCATCCCTCTGCAGAACGCAGACAGAGAAAAAAAAATCTATATGTAGGAGGAAATTTGGAAATGAAAAAATGAAATGAAGCCTTAACAAGAAAAAAAAACGTTCATCACCTTTTATTTAATTCTTAAAATTTACATTTACCATTGCTTTAGTATATACACTTAACTTTAATGTTTTTTTCTTTAAGAAACTCTCATTGATTTTATTTATCTTCCCTTTTTTCTTTGTTTGCAGTTGAGGTGAACGGATACAGCAGTCCTTCGTGCGAGGGTTCGGAGGGCGTCAGCAATTCCTCTTTGGCCGGGGCGGTTGTGAGATCGGCGACCGTGGATGTACGACCCGAGGGTGTCGTTAGGACGGACACGGAAAGCGCTTACTTTTGCGCAAATGGTAAGTAATTCCCCGTACACCTATCTTCTCACACGTCCCTTCATCCTCTAAACACCAAATCTATATCTCGCTTTTGCAGAGAACATGCTGATCTCCACATCGGACAGTTTCAAGTACGAATGGGTGGGGGCGCCGCGGAACCGCGAGGGCGTCGTAATTGAATTGAAGGCGGGCGCCTCGAAGCGTCCCGGCCCGGTGCACATCGCATTGGCAAACACTCATTATCCCGGGGATAAAATGTATAGGATAACGGTCGGCGATTCGGAGAACTCCATCAGCTGGATTGGAAGAGGCAAACACGGTAAGGACGTGCTTTCCAACCAAAACCCATCTTTTTCCATTCCACCATCTCGGGTTTTTCTGTTTTGTTTGAGCTCTATTTATTATTCTTTGGCCTTCTTTCCTTCTCGAAATTAATTGGAAACTGCCATCAGATTACGGCGTGCAGCTGGTGACCGCGCAGACACCGGCTGTTCTCTCGCAGGACGACTGGAGGACTTTCTGGATCACCTGGGAAAAGAGCTCTCTGGAATTCGGTAGAGGATCTCTCTTCCACAACGACACTCTGCTCAAGTGGAAGATCGACAAGAAATTGAAGATCCAGAATATCGGGTTCGCATCCTCCTGGGGAAGCCTAGCAGAATTCCGGTAAACAAATTTATTAATTCACTATAAAGTTTATTTACTTTTTTTTCTTGCAGTGTTTGGAATTTCAACGACGAGTCCGGATTCTCTCAGGTACTCCACTTGGATACCCCACGATCCGTCGTTCCAGGCTCCGAAAGCGGTGAGCTCGTCATCTCCGGTGGATTGGCTCTTCCCGCTCTCCCCAAGAAGCACCGACCTAGCGGAGGACTCTCCGACACTCTCTCCTCTCTGACAACTCTTCTGAGTTTATCGCACTTCGGACTGAAGGCCAACGAGAGTTTACGAGAAAGCGCCTACAGCAGATTGCCGGGACAGATACAAAATCTCCTTTCGTTCCGCAAACTGGACAACTCTTTCAGCGAGCACCAGCTCCTGGACAGTCACGAGGCTACGGTAAAAGTTCTAGAGGCTCTGACCAAAATCCAAGCGCACTTTAGCATCGATCCTGAGCTCATCCAAAGTATCAAGCGATGGGTGCAACTTCGACAAGAAGACGATGGAAGTTTCTCGCCTCTTCACGCGGACGTCTCGTATCCAAGCGGGAATTTCAGTAGGAGTGTCCTTGACGAGGTCATGGAGATGACTGCGGAGACGGTGATCGTCCTCTTTGAAATCGGCGTTGAAAACGATGTTGATGCTGAAACATTGGTTAAAGCGAAAGTGTTTTTGGAGAACGGTTTGCCGAAAGTCCAGTCTTCGGAAGCCGTAGCTGCGGTGGCTTTGGCTCTAGTATTGGCAAAGAGCGCGACGGCCAGTTGGGCTGTGGAGAGATTGAAGAACGCTTCTACAACGGAGGACGGAGAGTTCGGTTGGCCTCACGTAACGCCGAAACGCGATGCTGCGGATTGGTTGTACGAATCAGAAGCTGGAAGAACGCTTAAAGAACCCATCATAGGTATTTAATCTATACTTATATTCTTATAAGAAAATTTAATTATTGCTTTGCAGCTACAGTGGAAGACTACAAAGCTTCGCTCTACGCTCTGACAACATTCTGCTTGATCGGAGATCTTAAATTCGCGGAATCCACAGCGAAATACCTCTTCTACAGATCGCACATGCTGGATAAACACGTTGAGCTTCTTTACGATGCGGTAAAAGCGTTCGCTCGATACGACACTTTGGTGGACGACAAGAGAAGATCTCTGACCATTTCGTTGGCTACTTCCGGGATGGAACTGACCGATACGCTTGAGCTGAAGCCTGGAAGAAGCGCAGAAACCATCCTCCATCTGCCCAGTCTTCCAACGAAAGTCTTCGTTTACGCAACCGGTGCAGGGTGCGCTACAGTTCTTGGAAAAACCACCTACTCCAGCTACACAGCCAAAAGCAGCACCGAACTATTAGATATTTGGTCCGCGGTCTCCGAAGAGATCCTTCCGGATCGCAGCTCGGTGGAAGAGATCGAAGGAAAATCACCGATGCTGAAAATCAAGACTTGCTTTAGGTTGTATCCACGTAATCCTTGTATTCGACTTCCTTAATTTTGGGATTTTCAGATGGAAGCATGCGGAAAAACCTTCCGGGGTGTTGAGGATGGAGGTGGGTCTGTTCTCTGGTTTTGAGCCGACGCCTGTTCCACCTCAGGTTCTCAACGAAGACGCCGGAGAAATGCAGCACGGCCACAACGCAAACAACCTCTGGTTCACGTTCGCCAACGTCAGCGGAAACTGTCCCATCTGCGTGCAGTATCTAGCGCACAGCATCTACGTGATCTCTTCGTTGCGACCGGCGCATGCTAAAATCTATCCGGCGGAGCGCGAAGATTTAGCGGCTGAGGTCTTCTTCCACACGCAATCCGATAGTTCATTGTTGAAGGGTATAACAGGCGATGACCTCATCACCTGGTTCGGAAAGAACTCTACCGTTGGACCTGAAGTCAAGGTGCCGTGCACTTGCAAAGACGCCTGCACGCAGAAGACTCAAGTTCCGGAGCTTAAAGAGGATTTAAGCGTGACGACTTACACCATCAATGTGGACAGCAACTCCATTAGCAATTTGAGCCACGTCGATCGATTCCTGATCGAGCCAACAGCTGTGGCCGCAAATACAAGTGAGATTCCCACGAACGACACAACGATCATCTTTACAAAAACCAGCGACGATCTGATCCTGCAAGAGAATCTTATTGATGTGCAGGGCGAAACTCAATTGGAAAGCTTCGTCAAAAGCACGCAACTTCCTAAGAAGGTTTACGAGCGTGAAATCAAGAAGGTAACTAAACCGCAGAAGAAGAAAGTTACTGAGGTGAACAACAATACTGTATTTGTTACTACTACTACTACTACTGTTGAAGTCACCAGTGAAGCAGAAGAAGTTAACATAACGGATTTTGCAAATTATACAACCTCCGAAGTGTCTGTTACCACTGAGCTGGAGACGACAAGCAAATTGAACAATGTGGAGAATCAATTGATCGTTGATTTGAACGTTTCGCCTCCGAAACACGTCAACACCGAGAAGCTGCAGATTCCGGATGATCTGTACGAGAAGCGAGATGAAGAGGTATCAGAAGAACCGGCAACGTTCGCTCCGGAAAACAAGAACGACAAGTACGTCCTTCTGGACAAGGAGGATCTCTGGGGAATGCTCAAAGAGGTCGTCGACGATGAGATCAAAAAGAAGAGCAAGATTGCGCAGCAGCTGCGGAAGCAGGGATTCTCGTAGGCGCCGCAACTTGGGAACGCATCTGTAAATAACATTGTGCCAAAAAAAACGAAGAACAAGAAAGAAGAATCGATTCGAAAGTAGAATGAAAAGGGCATTTTCAAGATGACGAGAAACAACAACACAAAAAGCAAAAAACATTATAAGAAAAGCACACCAAAACTATAAGCTAGGATTAATTGAAGAGTTAATATTATTGCACTCACAATTCACTCACGTTCCCGATCGTTTTTATGTGTGTAATATAAGATGTAAATAGATGAAGAAAAAGAGATATTAAATCCGCCCAAAATTGCCCCCACATCGTGAGAGGAGTATCTGTGCCAAAAAAAAAATGAAGAAGAAGGAAAAACGCTTTACTTTACGTTTATTTTTGAACCTTTTGATCTTCTGTACTACCTGAGAGAGAGATAGAGTTCAGATTTGTGCGAAGCAGCAGAAAGAAACGCCAATCAATTGGACATCGAAATTTTTCTTACAATCCACGAGGACACAAAATTCTGGCGCGTTTTTTTTGCTAAGTCATATTAATCGTTGTACGAAGACGTTTTTTTTTTTGCACATATTTTGTACATACGACGTATGAAAAAAGGATGGACTAACTACTCTTAATAGTAATCTCTCAATCTGTATCTCTTCGAGCCCTTGTTCCGTCACGTTATTTCGAGTAATACTGAATAATTCTAAATAATGATAAAGAGAAAAGATATATATGTGGAAAGATATATTTTTCATATGTAAGGAGAAAGAAGCACGTCTTGTCAATTCAATAATTATTATTATTATTATATGTAAAAGAAGAAAAGAGAATGGAATGAAGGAAGGAAGGAAGGAAGGAAAGAAAAGGCCGTTTTCTTTAGGTTTCAGAGTCAATCATTTACCAGTAGGATTCGATGATCGTGTAGCAACGTTGTAAATATAGTTGATTGATCCAGTGTTGATTATTGATTAAAGATTGCGAAGAGGAAATTGCGAGAAGAGGACGCGCGTTTTCGATTGAATTGTGTGGAGAAGCAACAGGAGCAGAAGAAGACATAAGAAACGCTTGTAATTGATTACTTAAATTTATAATATGAATAAGCTCAAATCGTAAATCGATAAGGAAATATGAAGAAAGAAAAAAAAAGGATGAGAAGGAGGAGATTCATTAGGTAAATTATATAAACTAATAATTAACGCTAATTTCCCTCCCATTTGAAGAGCAATATTTTTATCTCTTAATTTCCTCACGACATTTATGTACTAATATACTAATATACAATCCAAGAATCCTTTGAGGCTGACCGCTACACGTTACGTAATTATAAATTAAAAATATATTAACAGTAAGATTAATGAAAAAAAAAGTTAAAAGTAAACTTAATGCGCGCGCTATATCTACAATTTAGCAGGCTCTATTTTATTATATTGATGATGATGATGATGTTTGAGATGAACACACGACAACAGTATGATCAGCAGATGAAGAGTAAAAGAGAACATTATTTATGTGTTATTATTGTGATTTATTTATTTATTTGTATTACTAATTACAAAGTGAAACTGTATTTCATGTCATATCAATGTTATAACAATTTAAATCTATTCATTTATGATTGAATTATTCGAATAAATTGAAGGAATAAAAATGATTGTTTACGCGATGCACATCAATTGCCATTTCATTTACCATTCACCATTCAATCCACCACCGAATCCTTTCTTTAACGAAATAGTTTATTGAGTGAGAAATTACTTGGAAAAACTTGGTACATTTGGTGCAAGAAATGGTACAAGAACTCTACTGTCCACCATCTCTTCAATGAACGTACAATTACCAACTTCCATACTCTCTCTTTTGGCGCAAAATCGTCCAGAAATTCTTAAGGATTTAGCCAATTTTGTATTGACCACGGATACTTCCTTACAAAATAATTTGTTAATCAATTATGAAGTCACCATTACAGCTACAAACTAATATTTATGCTTATTTTAATCTGTGTATATTCAATATCAATATCCATGTGTAACATTCTTCTGTGAGCTCATTTTTACGAAAATACAGGTCATTTACGAAGACGTTTTTTTCCCAACACATTTGTGAAATACCAAAGTTTGTTAATCAATTATGAAGACACCATTGCAGCTACAATCTAATATTTATGCTCATTTTTATCAGTGTATATTCAAGATCAATATACATGTGTAACATTCTTCTAGGAGCTCATATTTACGAAAATACAGGCCATTATCTAACACGTTATTTTCCCAACTCATTTGTGAAACACCAAAGTTTGTTAATCAATTATGAAGACACCATTGCAGCTACAAACTAATATTTATGCTATTTTAATCTGTGTATATTCAAGATCAATATCCATGTATAACATTCTTCTGGGAGCTCATTTTACGAAAATACAGGCCATTTTCGAAGACGTTATTTTCCCAACTCATTTGTGAAATACCAAAGTTTGTTAATCAATTATGAAGACACCATTGCAGCTACAAATAATATTTACTTTAATTTAATCTGTGTATATTCAAGATCAATATCATGTGTAACATTCTTCTGGGAGCTCATATTTACGAAAATACAGGCCATTTTCGAAGACGTATTTTCCCAACTCATTTGTGAAATACCAAAGTTTGTTAATCAATTATGAGAGACACCATTGCAGCTACAAACTAATATTTACGCTCATTTTAATCAGTGTATATTCAAGATCAACATTCATGTATAACATTCTTCTGGGAGTTCATTTTTACGAAAATACAGGTCATTATTTAACACGTTGTTTTCCTATTTGTTCCACAAAGTGAATATGTATGTTCGGTTGTCTGCACTTTAGGCGCAAAATAAATATCACATATTTTTATGACCGCCAGCGCCATCTGTCAGCAATATGTCAAAGGTTGTAGTTCAGGCATTTTGGCGCTGCATAAAAACCATTTCGTTAAAAACGTTCTAATTTAAATAAACAAACATATAAACATGGTGCATGAACAAATGTAATGTTATTACTTCAGTTTAATCATTTAAATGCTAATTAGTTTTCGAGTTATATGCATTTTAATTAATACAAGCAGATACATCTTTCGGAATTTTCAGGAAATAGTCTGTATGTGTGGTTGCAAACTACGTTATTTTAAAAACTCATTGGTAAAATATCAAAGTTTGTTAATCAATTATGAAGGCACCATTGCAACTACAAACTAATATTTATGCTTATTTTAATCTGTGTATATTCAAGATCGACATCCATGTATAACATTCTTCTGGGATCTCATGTTTACAAAAATACAGGCCGTTTACGAAGACGTTATTTTCCCAACTAATTTGTGAAATACTAAAGTTTGTTAATCAATTATGAAGGAACCATTGCAGCTACAAACTAATATTTACGCTCATTTTAATCAGTGTATATTCAAGATCAACATCCATGTGTAACATTCTTCTGGGAGCTCATGTTTACGAAAATACAGGCCGTTTACGAAGACGTTATTTTCCCAACTAATTTGTGAAATACTAAAGTTTGTTAATCAATTATGAAGACACCAGTGCAGCTACAAATTAATATTAGCGCTTATTTTAATCCGTGAACATTCAAGATCAACATCCATGTATAGCATTCTTCTGGGAGCTCATGTTTACGAAAATACAGGCCATTTGCGAAGACGTTATTTTCCCAACTCATATGTGAAATACCAAAGTTTGTTTATCAATTATGAATACACCATTGCAGCTACAAAGTAATATTTGCGCTCATTTTAATATGTATATATTCAAGATCAATATCCATGTGTAACATTCTTCTGGGAGCTCATTTTTACAAAAATACAATCCATAATCTAAGACGTTGTTTTCCTATTTGTTCATCACAGAGAATATGTATGTTCGGTTGTCTGCACTTTCGACAGGAACCAGCTAAATGAATGAGGCTCTTCCTAGAGGGAAGAAGCAGACGGAAGAATCATTTATTTACAAAATACGTATATATAAGTAAAATCATTAAAATTCTAAGAGATGTTTGGTGCTGCTTCCGCATCCCAACTGTGGAGCTTCCTTCTTGTTCGATTCATCATCACCCAAATCTGCAAAAAAGTTACCAGTTACCAATGAAGAAACGATAAACCTTGATTAAATCCAATTCAACCTGGTGGCAGATGAAGAGTTTCAATCGAAAACTTTTTCTTCCTCAGTTTGAAGGTGAACTCGACGGAACCGGGATGCTTCGAAACGAGCGTATTGATCGCTGCAATCTTGATGAAATGGAAGAACCCGTTGTAATCGGCGAGACTCTTGTTGCGCTCCAATTTCGTTCCAGCGAACGCCTGCAGTCCCAACGCGATGTCCGAAATGTAAACCAATCGTTCGTCGAAAGCCGCTTTCAACTGAAATTATTCAATTAGTAAAATAATTATGCGACAATTCTTTGGGATTACCTCTTCCGATAAATGCGTGGGAATCGTGATCATGGCCACGGAAAAGCTTTTCCTCAGCAGCGCCCTCAAATAATACAAAAACTTCTTCAGATTCGCGACGCTTCCACCCCAGAGCGGCGTCCCGAGCTGATGCAGACCTAATCTGAGGACATTCTTCGTCGCCAGATTACCGGTCAACAATACATTATCGCCGTCGAAGATTCTGGAGCGAATGTCCATCAGAAGTTCGTTGTAAGGATCTTCGTCGACGTTCACCACCTCCTTCAGGAATTTCACGTCCGCCGTTGCGGTCAGATCCTTCGATATGCATTTACTCAAATCGTAATAGTGACCGAACGATGATTTGATTTGCTTGTCTCTGGTCGGCAGATGTTGGTAACGGAACGCTATCGACATTTTATTGTTACCCATTGGATTGTTAACATCCTCAACGTCAGTGTTGGTTTGTGCAGGCAAAGAATGAAACTGAAATTATTCTGATTATTAAAAACAAATAGGATTTAAATAATGCGCCGCACCAAATCTTCTTGGGGGTCGCACTCCAAACTGGCTATGTAACTGCTGTGCTTGTTGACTATACCCTCGGCCAGGAAATATTTCATCATTACTTTAGCGTATGAACCTTGCGCATCCTCCTCTATCATTCAAAACAAACAATTTCCATTAGACAATGTTATGATTGTGAAGCTCAGCTCTTAGTTACCAATTAGGACTATTCCACCAACAGGTACACCGCCTCCTGAAAAGTTTTTTTTGTTTTTTTTTGTATAAATTATTTATTGAATCGCAAAGGTTAACCTATCTCACCTAATTTCTCATCCAAAGCTGGGATTCCTGTGGATACAAGCAACTGCGATGAAGCAGGATTGATTTTGGTACCTGCAATATTCAGAGTCGCCCTCTTCTCCATGTCTGCTTAAAAATATAAAAGAACTTGTGCTAAATATAAAGAACTTGTGCTAAATGAAGAGTAATAACAACAACATTGGGCACATGTCAGAAAGTTTATTGATGCGAATAAAGTTGCATAAGTATAAAAAAAATCTTTATCATACCTTTAAAGTTCTTTGTCTTCAGAAAACATACAACAGCTATGGTAGCTACAAACCTGTATTTACACTCATTTTAATCTCTCTATATTCAAGATCAACATTAATGTCCAAAACTCTTCTGAGATTGGGTATATACGAAAATACAGACCATTTACGAAAACGTTCCAAACTCATTTGTGAAATACCAAAGTTTGTTAATCAATTATGAAGACACCATTGCAGCTACAAACTAATATTTATGCTCATTTTTATCAGTGTATATTCAAGATCAATATCCATATATAACATTCTACTGGGAGCTTTTGTCTACGAAAATACAAGCCGTTTACGAAGACGTTATTTTCCCAACTCGTTTGTGAAACACCAAAGTTTGTTAATCAATTATGAAGTCACCATTGCAGCTACAAATTAATATTTACTCTCATATTAATCAGTGTATATTCAAGATCAACATTCATGTATAACATTCTTCTGGGAGCTCATGTTTAAGAAAATACAGGCCATTTGCGAAGTCGTTATTTTCCCAGCTCATTTGTGAAACACCAAAGTTTGTTAATCAATTATGAAGACACCAGTGCAGCTACAAATTAATATTAGCGCTTATTTTAATCCGTGAACATTCAAGATCAACATCCATATCTAACATTCTTCTGGGAGCTCATTTTTACGAAAATACAGGCCGTTTACGAAGACCTTTTTTTCCCAACTCATTTGTGAAATACCAAAGTTTGTTAATCAATTATGAAGACACCATTGCGCTCATTTTAATCAGTGTAAATTCAAGATCAACATCCTTGTATAACATTCTTCTGGAAGCTGATGTTTACGAAAATACAGGCCATTTACGAAGATGTTATTTTCCCAACTTGATTGTTAAACACCAAAGTTTGTTAATCAATTATGAAGACACCAGTGCAGCTACAAATTAATATTAGCACTTATTTTAATCCGTGAACATTCAAGATCAACATCCATGTGTAACATTCTTCTGGGAGCGCAGAATATACACTAGATTAAGATATGAGCGTAAATATTAGTTTGTAGCTGCAATGGTTCTCTTCATAATTGATTAACAAACTTTGGTATTTTACAAATGAGTTGGAAAATAACGTTTCGTAAATGGCCTGTATTTTCGTAAACATGAGCTCCCAGAAGAGTGGGAATAACTCTTATACCATTTAAAATGGTAAAAATTTAGTGTGATCTTGAATATACACTGATTAAAATTGAGCGTAAATATTAGTGTGTAGCTGCAATGGTTCCTTCATAATTGATTAACAAACTTTGGTATTTCACAAATGAGTTGGGAAAATAACGTCTTGCGAAATATGGCCTGTATTTTCTTAAACATGA